ATCTTTCATGATCACCAGAATTATGGATCAGGGCAGTACTCTTGTCCTGCTCCACTCCATATGGTCAAGCCATCCAATTATCATCACAATCTAATGTCTGTTCCATCTCATACTATCACTATGTCCCCAAAAATATTGCTGTCTAGGCCTAGTTTCTCTTATCAGTGAGTGGTTTTCATCTGTCTCAACAAGGGCTGCCTCAGTTGTTTCATCATTCGGCAATATTCTTTGCATTATTCTCTAAAGCCAAATAGTGAAAAATTATGTGGAAGCGGCAGAGATGTGATTTTATAGATGAATGATTAGAACACCATCATCATCATCATCATCATCATCCATCATCATCATCATCCATCATCATCATCCTTTGTGTGCTATTAGACATCATAATCATATAGGGCCTGCATTCAATTCCTCGACTCCACTTTATTGCTTGCAACTTTCTCGATTTCTGACATGGAGTTCAGCCCAGCATTTTTCCCCTCTCATAATAATGTTCTTCTTAATGTTTCCTTGTCATCCTCTTTTTTGTGTGTCTTAGACTGTTTCCCATTTCAGAGACTGTTTTGTAATTCTGTACTCATTTGAAATTTGATACAAGCTATCAGTCGCTTTTTTCAAGTCAATAAAATTCAGAATGAAAGGTTGTTGCTTCTCAATATGTTCTTCCAGAATAAGTCTCAGGTTAATTATTTGACCCAGATAACTTCTTCCAGTTCGAAAGCCAGTTTGTTCTTCTCTCATGATTGCATCAACTGCCTTTTTAATTCTTTTAAGGATTACTTTGCAAAAATGTTTTTGTCATAATAGATAGTAAGGTAAATCCACTCCAGTTATTGCAGTCATTAAGATTACTTTTCTTTGGAGAGATCTCACAATTATTCCTTTCTTCCATTGCTCTGGGGCTGTTTCCTATTACCAGATTTTGTAAAATAGTTCTAACAGTTGTTGAATTGTTGTCTCATCTGCTTCTTTGAGTATTACTGCTGTAATATTATCATCACCCACCATCTTGTTATTTGTTAAGGAATACATTGTATTTCTGATTTCCATAACATTAATCTGCCACTCATTTATGGGGAGTGTGGTCCTTTCTGCCTCTTCTTCAAATTTAATCATGTCTAGTGAGTCAGGCCTGTTAAAGGTCTCCTTGAAATATTCTGCCCATCTTTTCCTCTGCTCAGCATCAGATGTGAGCTCTGTGCCATCTTTGCTTTTGATTGGACCACCTTCTGGTTTGAATGTTCCAGTTAGTTGTTTTAATGCACCATAATGTATTTTGCTATTTCCAACCTTAGCTACCTGTTCCCCTTCTTCAGCCACTTTACCTTTTCCTGCAGTACTTTTTACTTGCTTGTCTCTTTTCCTATAATCTTCTTTAGCTTTAATGTCTTCTTGTGTTGTCTTAGTATTAATTAACACAAGTTTTGTTGTACTTCTTTTCAGATTGCACTGCCAGCTGTCATCACTTATCCATGGTTTCTCTACCACTCTTCTTTAATCCTGTACTACTAATAGCTGGCTCCAGGATAGTTGTCTTTATATTGTTCCAGTTGTCTTCAGTGCACTACTGTCTCTCCTCTTCAAATGTCTTGTACCTGTTTTTAAGTTCCAACTGGAACTCTTGTTTAACATTTTTTTCATTACAAAGTCTTTGCCCATCTATTCTGTGCTGTGTTTGTTTCTTAACAGCTGCTTTGAGTTTCACTTTCAGTTGTCCTATGCATAGACTGTGATCACTTCCTACATCGGCTCCCCTGTACGCATGGACATCCATTAAAAAGGTTCTGAATTTTCTGTTGATACAGAGGTGGTCGATCTGTTCAGTTAAAACACTATGGGCAAATTTTAAAAAAAAAAGTAATGAAGAAGTCTTGAAAGAAATTGAATCACCAAGAGAACACTGACTGCCCACATCAGAAGGAGACAATGTACATTCTTTGTCATGTCTGAGAAAGAGAAAACTGGAATATATATCATGGCGGTTGGAGGGGAAAACTGTTTGAAAGTGCACACAATAGAAAGTTGTGGATAGACATGACTACCAGTGCCACACAGCATTGACTTAAGAAGAAGAATGGTGAAGATAGTCCCATAGCAGATACTGCCTTTGATATGTGGGCCTTCAAAATCTTATGGCCACAAGTTTACTGAAACTCGATGTGATGGACCAGAAGGCACATATATCACAGCCTAGCAAGAAACCACAGTGTGCCAACCATCCTTTTCAGGGTCAACAACTTCAGGTCTTGCTACTTTTGGGGAATTAAACTTTGACCATGCCACAAACATGGCTGCCAATGAGATACAAATCACAGCTTCATTCTTTGCTTCCAGTTTTCCAAGCAAACAGTATTAGAAAGTTACATGTCATTTGTTGAAAACTACAATGCTTCTGGAAAAGTCATTGAACACGCCCTCTCCACAAAGTCATCTGTACAGAAATTCATTGAGGTAAGGTGCACTGTCCATCTATATTAGCTGACTTTAGCAGTTAGTCATTTTAAAGTCCGGGTTTAAACTTCATGGCAGACGTGTCACCCTATAACCGCTCCTTACCTGTGCCAGTGTAAATCACACTGTCCCATTTGAAAAACCAGCGAAAACTGTTCAGTCCCAGATACATTTTGAAGATCGCACACAGAAGCTTTGTCTGTTGTATAAAGTTCAGAACCATTTCCCACGCCTTCAGGCATAGTGGGCATATATTGCTAGATCTATATTTTATAGGCCAATCAGCACTCAGTGGGTGATATGATTAGCATAACGCCGACAGCCTTTACTTTCCAGGGCTTTGCCTGGTACTAATTTAGGGCTGGGTCTAAAGTCACTGATTTACTAAGTAGCCATTGTCGTTGATTCATGAAGTAGCTTAAAGTCTGTGATTGCTTCACTAGTCTAAAGTCACTGATTTACTAAGTAGCCATTGTCGTTGATTCATGAAGTAGCTTAAAGTCTGTGATTGCTTCACTAGTCTAAAGTCACTGATTTACTAAGTAGCCATTGTCGTTGATTCATGAAGTAGCTTAAAGTCTGTGATTGCTTCACTAGTCTAAAGTCACTGATTTACTAAGTAGCCATTGTCTTTGATTCATGAAGTAGCTTAAAGTCTGTAATTGCTTCACTAGTCTAAAGTCACTGATTTACTAAGTAGCCATTGTCGTTGATTCATGAAGTAGCTTAAAGTCTGTGATTGCTTCACTAGTCTAAAGTCACTGATTTACTAAGTAGCAATTGTCGTTGATTCATGAAGTAGCTTAAAGTCTGTAATTGCTTCACTTGTCTAAAGTCACTGATTTACTAAGTAGCCATTGTCGTTGATTCATGAAGTAGCTTAAAGTCTGTGATTGCTTCACTTGTCTAAAGTCACTGATTTACTATAGCCTTATGTCATTGATTAAGTAAGAAAACAGTCATTGATTAATTTACTAGTCTAAAGTCCTTGACTTCGTAACTAGGATACATGAAGATTACAGGAATTTGGAGTTAAGTGTGAATCTGGTAAGAGAGATTGAATGAGAAGAGAGGTAGGATATTGTGTACAACCAGTGTGTTGCTGAAACAGGACATATTTACAATCAGTGTGATACTGAAACAGGACATGTGTGCAACCAGTGTGTTGCTGAAACACGACACATGTACAACCAGTTTGTTGCTGAAACAGGACATGTGTACAACCTGTGTGATACTGAAACAGGACATGTGTACAACCAGTGTGTTGCTGAAACACAACACATGTACAACCAGTGTGTTGCTGAAACAGGACATGTGTACAACCTGTGTGATACTGAAACAGGACACATGTACAACCAGTGTGTTGCTGAAACAGGACATGTGTACAACCTGTGTGATACTGAAACAGGACATGTGTACAGCCAGTGTGTTGCTGAAACACGACACATGTACAACCGGTGTGTTGCTGAAACAGGACGTGTACAACCAGTGTGTCACTGAAACAGGACATGTGTACAGCCAGTGTGTTGCTGAAACAAACAGCATCAGCACTCATTTGCTGTGGGAGATGGAGCTTCTTTGGGTATACCTAGTGTGCTAGGGTGTTGCTTATTGAATTCCTTGTGTAGGTTTTGGTCATATCAAGCACCATGACGGATTAGAAACAATAATAGCAGAAGGCATAATACCAGGAAGGAGGGGCCGACCACCGCGAAGATGGGCACAGGATGTCATTTATGTTTTAAATATGAAAGTACATGAGGCAGGAGAGCTGGCGAGAGACCTAATTTCTTTCAGGCAGATTGTGATGAGAGCGACGTTCTGCAAAGGACCTGCTACATGATGATGATGTGGGGTTCCAGGGCCCCATTGTGAAGAACACAAGAAGAGACCCACTGCCTCCCTAACAAGCATGATGTAGGAGTTGACTCATTGGGGGCTGCCTTCCAAGTCAAAGTGCATCTGCCTGAGAGTCAAGGAAACTATGGTCTACATTTTAAAAAAAAGCCAGATTAGTAAAACGGATGTGTCAACAACACTCAGACTCTGGAACAAGACTAAATTCCAGAGGTGGACAAACTACTAGAACTTTCCACTGGAATTAACAGCCGGGGAACGCCAAGAAGAAGAAGAAGAAGAAGATGTGCTCCGACTTTGAAGGAAACCCCTAAACAGTCAACTCTTCAGACAAGCTTTATAAGAAGGCAGTGGGTATGTTCTTGTTTTTCCTCACAGTAGGACCCTGCCACCCACACGGGGAAAACAGCATCTAAATTTTAAGGCATTTGCTGACAGAGACAGAGCTTCTGGGGGTATAATACCCAGTGTTGACTATTCAATCATTAATCGATAACCAATTCATTGAATATTTCCTAGCATTAAATCATTGATGACCTCACCAGTATAAAAGTACATTACCAGCCTGATGTAAAATTGCATTCAGTTTCAGTTGTATTTTAATATTACAAATGAAATATCCGCTAAAGCCATTATGTTGTTTTTCTTTGTATCAGCAATGTCAGAAAGATAGTGGCCTCAAACTTAGCATGAAGGATTTAATTGTCCGCCCTATTCAGCGAATACCTCGATATGAATTGCTAATTCAGGTAATGTAGCCTCATTGTTGATTTTAATGCACTTTTCATTGGCATATTTATTGGCAAGCATTGTCACAGATGTTTCTTCTTCTTATACTCCATGCAGTGTGGTGTTGGTTATCATGTCGCCATTTTCCTTGTGGTTTCTGAGGCCCCATTGGGGATTGTGGGTAATGGGGAGAATAGAGTCCCTTTTCTCCTCATTAGCGTGATGTAAAAGATGACTAAGGAGGGGTTAGCCGGAATTGGATGTGATGGGTTAAAAGGTGCAGATGTCACGCCTTGCTGTAAACCATGACAGAATGTGCCAGCTTTTTAAGGGCAAAAATAGAAAATAAAAAAAAAATAAACAGATTTCTGCTCCCAGCTTTCTTCATGTCATGATGCGAAACTATACAGCATCTGCTCTGTTGATACCTCTGCCTCTTTTCTCCTCCACCTTTCCTGTTGTCACAGTTTCCCCCTTATCACAATGTGACAAAAGAATGTGGATTGTCTCCTTTTAATGCGTTTTTTTGTTTGTTTATGACTGATGATATGCTTTGCACATATATTTTTAGAACTTGTTTGTAAAGGTCACATGTCTTGTAGCCACATTTTGTCAGTCCAATTTTTTTTTAAATCTGGTAATATATCATTATTTTCTTCTTGTTTTGTTCATTGTTGAGTATTGAGCCAAAACTGACATTACAGCCTTCTGGACATACACATAAGTACTCTGTCCTAATATTCAGCAGCCAGCAAAGAGTTCCGATTCTGAAGGTACCAGTATCAGTTTGATTATAAATTCCTCTTGCTTTTCCTCCGAGTGTAGAGTGTCAACCGGATCTCTTGGTCGCCCTCAGTCTTCCATTCTTTCTAGACCATAATGATCGATTCATGCCTCTGCTTTGTTCACTTGCTCCTAAACACCCAAAGGATCTTGAAAAATTCTAGCTTGTCATCCACCACCCACTGGTGCTGACCAGCTAGTCTGTCTGCCTGTTCATTTCCTAACACTCCTGTATGACCTGGAGGAAATATCCAAAGAACACTAACTACCCTGGACCTCTGAAGCGATCTTGCCACTCTGCTCAGAGCATGCCTGTCTCCACCTTTCTTAACATCGTTTTGTGAGTCGGTTACGCTCACAAGTATGTGTGTAAGCTGTTCTCAGGGCAGTGGAAAGCTGCTGTGACTGCTTCCACTCCACTCACTGTCAGACTAGATGTTGCCTGGGGCCTGGGTAGGAATTATTATGAATCAGTTCTTGACTTTCTTTTTCTGCACAAGTCTGTGTTTAGCTCTGACACTTTGATCTACTCATCTTGTCTTCAAATGTTTTCCAGCATACACACAGCTCTAATTGAGTCTTCTGCTAATGTCATTCAAGACTTTCCTCTGATAAACCTGTGATCCTCAGCTGTGTCCCGGATTTCATAAAAAATTTTGTTTTTGTCAGTAGCTACCCCAAGATTTGACCTGGCTTGCAGCACCTTTTGCCTGTCTGCAGTAGTCAGTAGTGCAAGGATGTATCATATACAGACAGCTGGGGTGTCTCTTGTACATCCTAGAATCATCCGCATGGCTTTATTCTGTATGCGTTCAATCAACAGCTGACTTTTCTGATACAGTGAGCAGCCTGATCCCATAATCCATTTCAGAAAAAATTGAGTGCTGGTACACTGTGAACAGAATTTTTTTGGGGGTATTCTCCATGTCCATTGCTGTCATAATTTTCAGGTCATTAAACCTCTTTTGGCATTTTGCTGCCTCCACATGCTCCTGAATGAGAGGCTGCTATCGAAAGTGATACCCAGGTACTTCAGTGTGCCTTCTCTTTCATGTTTTTATTGTTAATTGTCAGCTGTAACAATTTTAGAGAGAGCAGCATAGAACCACCACCTTTTCAGTATTGAACTTTTTGTTCTGTGGTGTTTTTATAAACTTTTTGTAACCTTTAAGCTGAAAGGCTTAAATTAAATTATTCATCTTTTGTGTTTGTGACATCATCATTGAATTATATCTGTATGTTACTGTTGTAACATATTAATCTTTGCTTTCTTCTTCTTTTTCTTCTTCTTCTTCTTTTTCTTCTTCTTCTTCTTCTTCTTCTTCTTCTTCTTCTTCTTCTTCTTTCTTCTTCTTCTTCTTCTTCTTCTTCTTCTTCTTCTTCTTCTTCTTCTTCTTCTTCTTTTTCTTTTTCTTCTTCTTCTTCGTCTTCTTCTTCTTCAGTATTCTGAGCTTTTGAGATTCTTTGCTGCAAATATCACTGCTTCCACTCATCTCTGTGACTCTCTTTTTTCCCCCATTTGATAACTCAAAGTATTTGTCTTGGTCTGCCTCATGGTCTACTCCCATTCAACCCTTTTGTACATGACAGTATAACCTCATGATCACCCCGACATGCCATTTAATCGATGACCAATCTTCCCCAGCGCTTACTGGACAATACCCCACAAGATCACCCGGACCATCCACTGCTGCAGCAGGCCTGCAAGGTGATGCATGACTTGGCTGTGAAGATTGGCACGGTCAGCGAGACTCAGCACGGGGAAGATATGTTGGAGACACTGAAGAAGTTGGAGCTTCTGTTGATTACAGATGTGAGGAATTATTATGTCTGTTGATTACAGATGTGAGGAATTATTGTGTCTGTTGATTACAGATGTAAGGAATTGTTATGTCTGTTGATTACAGATGTGAGGAATTATTGTGTCTGTTGATTACAGATGTGAGGAATTATTGTGTCTGTTGATTACAGATGTTAGGAATTAGTGTCTGTTGATTACAGATGTGAGGAATTAGTGTGTCTGTTGATTACAGATGTGAGGAATTTGTGTCTGTTGATTACAGATGTGAGGAATTAGTGTCTGTTGATTACAGATGTGAGGAATTAGTGTGTGTGTGTGTTGATTACTGATGTGAGGAATTTGTGTATGTTGATTACAGATGTGAGAAATTAATGTGTGTGTATGTTGATTACAGATGTGAGACATTAATGATTACAGATGTGAGACAATGAGTGTGTGTGTTGATTACAGATGTGAGACAATAATGTGTGTGTGTTGTTACAGATGTTGAGATTGTGTGATGTTGATTACAGATGTGAGAAATGAGTGTGTGTGTTGATTACAGATGTGAGACAATAATGTGTGTGTGTTGATTACAGATGTGAGACAATAATGTGTGTGTGTTGATTACAGATGTGAGACAATAATGTGTGTGTGTTGATTACAGATGTGAGGAATGAGTGTGTGTGTTGATTACAGATGTGAGACAATAATGTGTGTGTGTTGATTACAGATGTGAGACATTAATGTGTGTGTTGATTACAGATGTGAGAAATGAGTGTGTGTGTTGATTACAGATGTGAGAAATTAATGTGTGTGTGTTGATTACAGATGTGAGAAATTAAGTGTGTGTGTTGATTACAGATGTGAGAAATTAAGTGTGTGTGTTAACTACAGATGTGATAAATTAACTGTGTGTGTTGACCACAGATGTGAGAAATTAGTGTGTGTGTTGATTACAGATGTGAGAAATAAGTGTGTGTTGACTGCAGATGTGAGAAACATAGGTGATTTGAAGGTGAAATTTGAATACAAGCTAGGTTGCTTTGCTTTATGCTCATGTGGTGTTGAAAGTTTTGGCTGGGTTTTTTTCCCTGGAGCAAAGGGAAAGATCATGGCAGAACAGACTGATGCTTTTTTATTTTCATCTTCTTGCATGAGGATGGAGGTGGAGGCAGTCGCTGCAGCTTTGAAGTGGATAGTGGAGAATAAGAGTAACCAGAGGAATTATGGTGTTTTATTCTCGGTCAGTATTATGGAAGGTTACAAATGAACAAATGTGGCATGAGTGGATACCAAGCATCAGTACGTCATCATTGCAGGGCCTCATATGGATATACTGTCTGGGATTTGCAGGAGTGCGAGGAAATTAAAAGCGGATTTTGTAAGTGCAAAAGTGATAGCTATGTAGGCACTCATACTGGACAAAGAAAACATTCTGAGGACCATTTATGAATGATTCCTGACAGAAGACATGAGGTTAAATGTTATAATTTTTGTAAGAGTGTGAACGGGAGAATAACAACAAAGGATGGACGAAGAGCAATCTGAGAACGTGTACATCCAGGGAGAAAGACAGAGCATGTTAGAAATCCGTTGCAGCCAACCTTAATAGTGTAGGTAACACTTGATTGATTGAAGGAAAGGGATACTTTGACTTTATTTGTTACTGTCTCCTAGCAGATCAACAAGACACATATTGATAATGATGATATGTTCATTTCAAAGTGTGTTATCTCAGAAACGAAACTTGCTTTTTTCTTTTTCTCCATTCTTGAAGGCTAAAAATTTGTCTTCTGTTTTTATCTACAGCTTGCTGTCCCAGACAGAGCATATATTCGCCACGATATGGTTCAAACACTTGTAAGTTTTATGTACTTATAATAAGTAAAAAGACATAAATGATTGGCACCCATAAAAGTAAAAAGATAGGATATACCGGACAACATAAATATGGAGTTTACTATGCTGAGAATCGAAACTGTCATCTTGAAGTGATGAAGGTGTCTCACTGCAAGAATAAGTACTAAAATGTGTGGCTGCCTCGGCACCTCTAAACAAGTTTCTTCTTAGCCATGGCTGTCCTAAAACCTGAACCCGCAGCTGTGTAATACAAAGTTCATTCTCAAGCCACTGAAGCAGCACCACACGTTACAGAAATTCATATTAACCAAGTATATAGGTCGAAAGCCAACACAGCAACAGTTATAAACATATTAGACCTTAATATTGAGTCAGTTAAAATTTAAGGAATTTATTGGTCGGTTTCATTGTGTTGCAATTTAAAGCTTTAGAAAGGATTTGAAAAAACAGATAAAAAATGTTTCCCATCTGTTTATTTCTGTAAGTTTTATGCACCTTCTTCTTTAGTCATCACACAGCCCCTGAGTCGTAGCCCAGTGCTGTGGTTTTCTGTATTTGTCTTGCTCTTCTCGGCTGGCTTGAGTGATAGATTCATTCATCTTTTTGCAGGGTTCAGCTTACACTGTTTATCCTTATCTCCCTAGGTTATCCTGTCACCTTCCGCCTATGTATTTTGCTGTAGAAGGTTCCCTGTACAGTTTATTTTGGTTGTATTCAAGCTGGATCGCTAAACAACTCCATTATGTCTTTCAGTGTAACTAGGGCATTGTCATGTTCAAACCTTCTCTCTTGTGCTGGTATTTGTGATCCTGTCCCTTACTGCCATGCTGAGCTTTATCTTACTGTCATACTGTCAAGTTATATGTATTATTGGCACCTTTCTGTCTTTCCATATGATAGTGTTATAGACTCATGGGACTCACGGCTAATGGTGTTTGTTGACCAGGTTAAGAAAAGTCTTAAACAATTATAGCATGAGATCTCAGGACTGCTGATGCCATCATTTGTGTTTAGTATGTTTCTTCTCAGATGCTCAGCGCACATCCTTTTTGCAGTCCAGTCATTTCTTCCTTCATTCTCATTCCCTTCATTCTCATTCCTTTCTTCATGTGCCCCCTTCACACAACATGTTCCATGGCATTTTGTTCAGAATCCACCTCAATACCTGTGTCATTCATGTCCCGGCTGCACACATCTTTATATCTTGGTAGAGGTCAGCCTCGACATCTTCTACTCATCTGTAATTCACCATAGAGGATGTCCTTAGGGACCCTGCCATCCTCCATTCTCCAGGTCTGACCCAGCCACCTGAGCCTTAGTAGACTGAGATTTGAGAAAACTGTTGTAGTACCTGCTCTTTTCAATGCCTCACTGTTTGTGATCTTCTGTTGCCACTTAATGCCAAGTATGGTGAGAATCAAACAGATATATAAATGTTGTATGTGGGAATAAATTAACTATGGAAATATTAAAAGTGGGAATCACGCAGATATGTAAATAAATATGAATGATAATTAGTCGCATGTGTAAATAGCTCCCATCAGTTAAGTTGTGTTAGTAATCTGATAATCTGGTAATCTTAGTTTCAGCTTCATAGCAAATGGGTCACCTCCGCTCCTGTGCCAATGAAAAACACACAAAATGTTTATCACAGTTCAAATGAAATCTGCAGCTCACAGTCTCAGGCCATGCACTTAACTCAGAAGCTGGGCAACGAAACTATATCCTTCCAGTCTACAAATGGAGCAAAAATGCAGCGGCCACCGTCTGGCAGAAGCAAAAAAAAATTTCCAGGGCTAAAAAGTGGCCATGCCTAGTGTCCATTTTGACGTGAAGCATTGTGTGTTAGTAATCTGAGGTAAATGTTGTCTTGATTTGTTTTGGATGGTTACAAGGCTGTAGTTATATGTTTTCTATGTTCCTGACAGACCAAGAAGGACCAGTGTTGTCTCTGGCTGTTCTCCGATGTAGTGATCATCAGCAGCATCAAACGCAAAAGTGGCCCCGTCACAAGAAAGGTCTCGATCATCCTGTAAGTAAATTCTTCTTCTCTTCTTCTTCTCTTCCTCCTCCATCATCATCATCATCATCATCATCATCATCATTATCATCAAATACTGTTAACTCCAGCAGAAAGTTATGGTTGTTTGTCTACTTCTGGACTTTAGTCTTGTTCTAGAATTTGGGTTTTGCATGCACATCCGATTTTCAGATCTGGCTTATTTGTAAGCAGACTGTTGGTTTTTTGCCTCTCAGGCAGATATACTCCGACTTTGAAGGAAACTCTCCTAATTACTTGACCCTTTTGACATCCTTCTTTCAGAGGGGCAGTAGGTACATTTTGTTCTCCCCGATAGTGGAGCTCCAGAACCCGGTCAGCAAATGCTCAGTGAACTTGGATGTGTAGGCCAAAAGGCATAACACATTTGCCTCAATTAGACCAGTGAAAGGAAAGGAGGAAGATGAAACCCATACGTGGAGTAAGTTTATGGACTCTGCTGTCTCTTAAAATAATAAATCTTTTTTTGCGGCCATGAGCGCTTTAGATGTATTCCGGCCTAGAATATGGTAAACCCTAACACTTTACGGCTGTGTGCCTTAATGGCAGTTTCTGCCATGTGACAGCCTGTACCTGTATTACTTTCATAGATTGCCTCTTTTTTGTGTGTGTGTGGTGGAGCATGTTTTCTGACCTTGCAGTTTTTATCCTGATCTTTGTTTAATATGTTCTGACATCTTTGTCTGAAATAGGAAAACTCCATTTGGGCAAGATTTCACAGAGAATATCAAGCACAAGGTGTGGCTTCGTGTGGGACTCTATGACGTTGAAATTGTCAAAAGTATGTGGTGTAGCTGTGTGTCGTGGTTTCCTGTAGGTTTTAGTTTTCCAGTTCACAGTGTGAGTAGCTCCAAGGAATAATGGTGGCAGTTAAAGTGCTGGAAACACCTAATTAATGTGTTTACTTATTGACTGTGTAAGAGTCTGTTACAGTTGTTGGATCCAACTGTCTACCACTCATTAACAGTAAAGTAAAAGTAAAGGTCCCTTTTCCACACCTTTAGGATGTATTGGGAATATAGGGCTAGACATATATTGTTATAGACTAATCTGCACTTGCTGGGTAATGTGATCAGCATCACGCTGGCAGTCTTTACTTCTGCACCTGATACATACTCAGGGCTGGGTTGACCTGGGAGTCAAGGTCATTATTGAAAAGGAAAAAAGAAGTCTGGCTATGTTAGATGCGAACCCACGACCTTTGGATCGGCATGCAGGCGCCTAGTTACCAATGCTGTGACGACTCTCGATCATTAACAGAGTCTGCTTAAAATAATACTGACACAGTGGTCAATGAATTTGCACACACAGAAATAAAAAGTAAGTATGGTTAGAGTTCAAATCAGATTATAGTTTCATGACAGGACCATATTTCAAAATGGTTGGCTAATGTATTTGTAACCTGCAGGCTACTGAACGGTCAAGATAATAACTTTCAGTATCTGCTGCAAGACTGAGCACTCTTCTTGTAGTACAGGGACCGTAGGGTTGTATCATCATCATCATCATGTGCTCTGCTGATAAGCCAAGGCAGTCATGTTTTGCAAACTCACACCATCACTAGAAACACAGATCAAATAAGTGTTCTTGTCTAGCCCCCATCCAAATGACTAAGCCAACCAGATATTTATCTCTTTGTCTTTTCCTTGTTCTGTTTCCATCAATCTTGTCAGTTGTAACCAAGTTCTTGAGTCCATTCCTTCTCATATGTCGTCGTCGTCCCCCCCCCCCCCCACACACACACACACATGCATACACACACACACACACACAATCTGGATTTATGAAATCCTCATTGGAATGAATGTTCTCGTTCTGTTCCTGTTTTCTTTTAAAGACGCACCTCCCCCCCTACCCCCAGCATTAATGCAGCTCTTCTTTGTGGTCCTTTTGGTGGGGCATCACTGTGAATGGAAAGACATATTTTTTTAAAACCACACTTCAGCTGTGTAGTATTGGGAAAGCTAACCTGATTAGCAAATGATTAGCCTAGAAGCAGTTGCATAGGGTGACCTAAAGGCACACATATCATTACTCTACTCCCTGTGTGTGTTTTTGGGCCCTATTGGGAGGGGGGGGGGAGAACAATATATCCACTGCTCCCCTAAAACACTTGTTGCTAAAACTGACTAATTAGGGTGTTTACTTCAAAGTCGGAATGCATCTGCCTAAGAGTCGAGGAACCAACAGTCTGCATACAAATAAGCCAGATCATAAAATGAATGTGCAAGCAAAACCCAAGTCCTGGAAAAAGACCAAAGTCCAGAAGTGGGCTAAGGCTGGACAACTGGTGGACACGAGAATAAGATGACCTGATCTTTTACCACTTCAGGTGTCGAGGGAGATAAAAGGTTCTGCTTCTTGTTCTTCTGGCCGCCTCAAAAATAGACACACTGCGCTTTTGTAGAGTTTCTCTGATGTTATCTTTTCATATTGGTCTTGGTCTACCTCATGATTTACGACCTTCTCCTCATTTAGTGTATACCTTGTGCCTTGCATGGTATGACATCACAAGACATTCTCTCTAGTTTGGCAAAACATTTGATTTGCTATTTTTGTCTGCAAATTAGAATTAATTCTATGCAAACTTGTTCTCTTATGACCTCGTTCCTGATTGTTATCTCTTCTGGTCATTCCTGCAGCCCTTCTCAGATATTTCATATTCATGGTTACCAATTTTTCTTTCTGGTTTGTTGTGAGTTACTTTGTCTGGCACTGGTAAAATAGGGTAAGATCATGTCTGTTGTTACAAGTTTCAAACAGTGTCTGTTTTTATATAAGTGTAACTTGGTTCATGTCTTTGCAGCTCAGGGACAGGTATACAAGTCAGTGGTGGATAGAGAGCAAGTGAAGGATGATCTAAACGTTGTGACCCAGATGGCAGAACTTGCGGGCAAGTTGACATGCCATCACCAGGTCAGTTAAGTGACATTATTTTTAGTTTGTGTGTACCCTGTCATCATCATCGTCATCATCAATATCAGCTGCATCAAAAGATGACATAGCTTTACTAGATTATTTGAACAGCTTCATTTTGTGTACTCTCTGTGATCATCATCATCATGTTCATTACATTGTTATTATTAACATTTGTGTTCAAATCTTCTTCTTTTTTTTCTTTGCGTTCACCGGCAGATAGTTCCTCCACTTTTAGACTTTAGTTTTGTTCCAGAATTTAAGTTTTGTGGGAACATCTGTTTTACAAATATAACTTATTTGTATGGAAAGTGTTGCTTCCTCACCACTCAGACAAATGTACTACAACTTTAAAGGAAGCTCCCAATTTGTTGACTCTTACAACATGCTTGCTGGGGAGGCAGTGGGTCTGTTCTGGTTTTCCTCACAATAGGGCCCCGGAACCCATACAGGGAATAATGTCATGTTATAACCATCATCAAAGACTTCATCTGTTGTACTTTCATTCGTCTTCATCATGTTCAGATGGTCATCATCTTGACTTGACCTCAGTCAATCAGATAACTTCATCTGTTGTACTTTCATTCGTCTTCATCATGTTCAGATGGTCATCATCTTGACTTGACCTCAGTCAATCAGATAACTTCATCTGTTGTACTTTCATTCATCTTCCTCATGTTCAGATGGTCCTCATCTTGACTTGACTTCAATCGATCAATTACATAACTTCATTATTAACATCATCATTATCATTGTGTTCATTTTCATCTTCATGTTCATTTATTCATCATCATGACATGACCTCACTCGATTAGTTAAACATCTGTTGTGCTTTCTTTTATCATCATCATCATCATCATGTTCCATGTTATCATTATAAACAGACTTGACCTCATTAGGGTGGTCGTCATGATTTCAACTTGTGTCAACTTTATGTCTTCTCAGACGATAGTGGTGTATGTGCTTTAGGAATCTCAGCCTATGGTGATGGCCAGTGTCACTAGCAAGGCCCACCAATGTTAAGAAAAGTACATGGATGGATCCTTTAGTTAAATGTATAATGATACATAGATGCTGTTTGTAATATTAAAAGATGGGATGGACTTGTCTACTTTCTACCAGGGTCTCGAGGAAATGATCAAAGACCTGAACTCAAATTTATCCAGACAGCTTTCAGAGGCCAGTACAAGAAATATTCCACCAGATTCCAACAAAATGGAGCTCCTTGTCACCACACAGTAAGCCGTCTTTGCCTTTATAATCATGGCTTTGTTGGCACAAGTTTCTTCTTCTTCTTTTTCTTCTTCTTCTCCTCCTCCTCTTCTGCTGCTGCTGCTACTGCACCACACAGTAAGCGGTCTTTGCCTTTATAATCATGGCTTTGTTGGCACAAGTTTCTTTTTCTTCTTTTTCTTCTTCTTCTCCTCCTCCTCCTCCTGCTGCTGCTGCTCTTCTCCTCCTTTATCTGTTTCTTCTTATTTGCTTTCACCAGCTGTAAATATCGACAGTTTTGGCTGTTTGTCAACTTCTGGATTTGGCCTTGTTCCAAGACTTGAGTGTTGCATCATACTCATCCGTTTTCCAGGTCAGACTTTTTTGTGAACAGACTGTTGGTTCCTTGCCTCTAAAGCAGATGCACTGCAATTTCTAAGGAAGCATCAGTGTTCTGTCTACATTGGCCTGGCTTCAGCTTGGGATTTTTTTTTTATCGGATGTGCAGAGGTGTGGAAGGGTTTGACAGGTATAAACCCTGGTTCTGGTACAATCGACCATATGTAGTTCAGCATGTTTCCACATGTTTCTTCTTCACTGTAAACTCCGGCAGAATGTTCTAGTTGTTCATCTACTCATTGACTTTAGTCTTGTTCCAGAAGTTGAGTTTTTGCACGCACATCCATTTTACAGATCTGTTTTATTTCTGTGCACACTGTTGGTTCTTCGCCTCTCAAGCAGATGCACTCTGACTTGGAAAGAAATCACTGTTTAACTTTGTAAAGTCGAGAAGTTTTCACAGTAGATGCCAGGAGGAGGAACTAAATTTTCAATGGTAAAATGGCTAACCCTTTCAAGGCTAGAAGGATTAATGAAGTCTTCTTCTTCTTCTTCACGTTCAAAAGCTGTAAACTCAAGCGGAAAGTTTTGGTTGTTCATCCACTTCTGGACTGCAGTCCTGTTCCAGAACCTGAGTGTTGTGTGTGCATCCATTTTACATATATGACTCATTTGCATGCAGACTGCTGGTTTCTTGACTCTCAGACAAATGCACTCCGACTTTGAAGGAAGCTCCCAATTAGTCGACTCTTACGACATGCTTTGGGTAGGCAGTGGGTCTATTCTTGTTTACACAACTGGGCCCCGGAACCCACACGAGGAGATTAATGATGGAATTCAAAGGTTTTAGGGATTGAAAAATCCTTTACAAAATCCCCACATCAGAAGGAGACAGTCTAGGCAGAGTGAGACTGAGGTAGAAAATGCTGGACAGTTTGACATGGCATGATATCATCTGTGTCAGAATTGATTGAAAGTACATGCGGCAGAAGGTTATGGATAGACGACTATCAATGCCACATGGCACGGACTATAAGAATTTGACGCATGTGTCTCATGGTCTTGAAGGGTTGATCATCTTTCCTTGTTCTCTGAAATTCATAAATTGGGTTTTCATGTTGATTATTTAGTTAAGAAGTGGTATTTTGGAAATCCCAGTTGGGCATGCTTTCTGACGCTCTTGGCAGGTGATGACAAGTCACTCTGTTGAGAAAATCAGAGCCATATAAGATAAATCAAGTGTAATGAAGTTGATCATCTCAGCTTTAACACATCCTCAAAATCTCCGTGTGAAATCACAAGCGCATTACTCTCAAAGGCTGCTGAATATTAAATACACAATGGGAATGGCATACTACTGGCATAGTGTAGTATGCTGAATTTGTAGAAGTGCCAGAATAAGTTATGTGACAGCTAGGATTTACAAGAAACGCTAGTGACATAGCATGCATTGCTTGGAACAGTAACAATTTAAACTTTTTCAACTCTTCACAAATTTCAGCCAAGCTTTAACCTTTTCACTCCATGCATGCTTTAAAACAAAGGGAGATTGGGGGTGGGGGGGGAGTAATTAATCTGTGGGAATTCTGAAAAATATCCTTTTTTAAAAAAAGAATTTGTTTAAAGGTTTTTTTCACAGTGGTTAATGAATTGTGTAAAAAAAATGTATTTATCAACATAAAATAAAATTTTTTTGAAATATATAAAGATATATAAAAGACGAGAAAAAGAATTCTTAAAAGTTATATAAATCCTTTATTGATTTACAGATGTGAATCATGTACAGTTAGTAAATTGGTGAAAACTTATTTGGAAGCTGTGGAGATGGGGTTTTATAGACAGATGATGAGAATACCCTGGACAGATTTTTAAAAAAGGGGTAATGAAGATGTCTTGAAAGAAACTGACTCATGAAGAGAACTGGTTGCCCACATCAGAAAGAGATTATCTTCATTCTTTAGTCATGTGATGAGAAGGAGAAAACTGGAGTACATTGTGACGGTAGGAAAGTTGGAGGGGAGGAGAGGTAGAGGGTGACCAAGAGAAAAGATGCTCGATAGTTTCACATCATGGCATGGAGAATCATCTGTGTCAGAGCTGATTGAAAGTACATGAGACAGAAGGTTGTGGATAGACGTGACTACCGACGCCACACGGCATGGACTTTGAGAAGAAGAAGAATGTAAAAGGGGTAATCAACAAACATGTACGGAGTGAAGCATTAAATTAGGTCCCAGTGCCTAAAAAAAAAACACTATGTGTTGGGTGACTTATGCCATGACCCCATGACCTCCTTCACTGAAGCTTACAGGAGAGTTTTATTTCAAGCTGGCTTTAAAAAAAAACTAATTGGAGTCCTAAGGAAACCTCGCTAAATGCTGTATTTGGTCAAGATTTATTAATAACCTGGCCTCCTAATGGCATTTAACTATTTTGTTCTAGAACAGGTTACTGCATAAATGGCAAAAAATTAGCTTTTACCAGGCTGTGTCACAACTGGAAGTGCCAATTAAGCCTTTGGAGTGCTAGGGTTAATAAGAGCCCCTTGTTCACATAGGAATATATTGAAATTGTTGTACCCATTTTATGAGACTGGATTGACTCCTGGGCCATAAAGGTTAAGAAAAAACTTGTGTGGGGATTGAACGAAAACGACTGTCTTGGCAGATGATCTCAATAATTAAAAGCTGTGTAATCTTCGTTTTCTTCTTCGCGTTCACCGGCTTTAAACTCTAGCAGAAGTTCTGATCATTTGTCCACTTTTGGATTTTAGTCTTATTCGAGAACTTGAGTTTTGTGTGCATATTCATTTTACAGATTGGCTTTTTTTTATGCAGACTGTTAGTTCCTTGCCTCTCAGACAGATGCACTCCAATTTCAGAGGAAACACCCCTAATAATTAGACTTTTTATGACATTTTCCCCCCCCCCCCCCCCCTCACAAAAATGGCGGACCTGGAACCACACAGGAAAAATATATAGAGAAAATAAAACAGACTAAATCTCTTTCTGTGTTTTCAGAGCAGACGTGATACACATAGTCATTGGCTTCTCTACAGCTGAGAAAGAGAATGTCCTGGGAAGCAGCGTTCACAGAAGCAAAACACAAACTCAGTAAGGCTCCTATCTTCATTGTTCATTTAAGGATCATCTTCATCGCACATCAGACATGACCATATGTGCTTCGATCTCCTCCTGAGCATGTCTCCAGTGTTTTTAGGCCAACAACTCCCATTCTGTTCTGGTTGATGTAACGACGGGTGGCCCCTGCATGGTTTTCTTTCTCGCTGCTCCAGTTGGTAAACCCAGGGTTTGCAGTCTATTCAGTGAAAAATCATTTTCCATGAAATTGAAAGTTTCACAGTGTTTAGTCTCTTGTATGCCATTGATGATGTCTCTCCTGTCCATAGTTGGCCCATTCCTGATGGTCACACTGCTGGCCAGGGCATCTGCTCTCTCACTGCCTATCACGCCAGCATGACCTGGGATAAAAATGAAGATTTTTTTGCAAAATGCTGCATTCTGAATCAGATGGAGCCACTGTTTCTGGATATGCCCGGCCTTGATCTTCTGTAGCCTGCTCATTGAACCACTGAGAAAGCAAGCCTTGGTGAATTCCTGACTGCTAGCTAGCTAAAGGACTTGAAGGCACAATATGTACATGTTTTTATGTGTGCAAGATTCATTTGATTGATTGAGGAGCATCTGGTTGACTGTTTAAAATACTTTTGCTGTCATTCAGGAGATGGGGGGGGGGGGGGGGGGGGGGGGGGTCATTCAACGCTAAGATGAGAGACAATTTTTGAAAAATAATCTGTTTCTGCGCAAATTGTGGTGACTGTACTAGATGTGCGGCCCTAAATCCACTAGTTCATGTCTTTTCTGTCCCACACCACCTGAAGAAGTGGTAAATACAGGCATTAAACTTTTTACTAGTGATTGGGAATGCATTCCAAGACGTCGTTAACTTTCTCAGTGCCAGGAAATTTGATAGAATGTGCCCAAATGAGACAACCACCCCCTCTCCCCAACCCCCCCCCCCCCCCCCCACCCACCCACACCACACACACACACACACGCAAGCAAGAGTTTTGTTGAATATTCATCCCTTCCGGACTGAGAAGGCCAGAACTATGAATGAAACAAGTTTCTGAGGGTAGTGACTGGTTTTATCACCAGAGCAAGATTTTATAGCAGTAACTGAGATATGGTGGTTAGACCATATTTGTATAGATCAGTCAGCACTCACTGTATGGTGTGATCAGCATTACGCCAGAAGTCTCTAATTATTGTAAACCTAAAATTTTAAGGACCCTTTTCATGCCTATGCTCATCAAGCACATGGGGCTAGACAGATAGTTTTTTTTTTTAACATATCAACCGGTATTTGATAGGCGATGTGATCACCTTTTAGTTCAGCTTGGAAACCATGTTAATTACAATTTTTTTTTTAATCCACCTTGGTGCAGATTTGCACTTAAGAGCATCAGACAAATGGCTAGCCATTATATTACCATGGCATCCTTCACTTAATGTAGAGGTTATGTATTAGGCTGTTGAAACCTACATATGATAACTAGATTGTTCCTTCCAAGTTGATGGTGTAAGGCATTAAACTAGGATGTACTGTAATCAGTTCTACCCTGTTTTCTTGCAGCCTGTTTAGTTTTAGCCATTGAAATATCTCCTGTTCTTTTATTCCAATACTTTAATGGTAATAATTCTTCTAGTTTTTAATAGCAAGGAAATCTCTCTTCTCTCCCTCCCCTCCCCCTCTCTCTCTCTCTCTCTCTCTCCTCTCTCTCATGTACACTTACACATGCCTTTTCCTGGAGAGAATGATGCAGCGTGGAGTGTCTGCAGGCTCTGGGTGCCACTTGAGACTCGGGGGAGAGGCAAGACGAGTAGTTAACAAGATGACAATGAGTGCTTTCAGTATGGAGACCATGCTGGCTATTGAGGAGGAAGCTATTGTGGCATATCCTGATTATGGCACACCAGACAGATTATCCCCATCTATTCTTAAATAAAGACTAATTCAGCCACATTATTTCCTGTTCCTAAGGTTTGCTGTCAAACAAAAGAGCTCCTGAGTTTCTCCAACCCCTTCAGATTACAAAAACAAGAGCTGGCATGCAGGTAAGGAAAAATCATTCCTTGTTGTCATCCAGTTGCTAATGACAACGGTTGTATTCATGAGTGTTGTTTACCAGTGTTTAAGTTATTGAATATTGTTCACATAGTCACATATTATGTATTCTTATTATAATTATAATAAAATATATAATCTTTCTTTGTCAGTTGAGACGAGAATGAGAATTCTTAAAAGCTATATAGATCTTATCGTGATGCATGGAAGTGATTCACGAACAGTTGGTAGATTAGGGACAAATTATTTGGAAGCTGGCGGAGGTGTGGTTTTATAGACAGTTTATGAGAATATCCTGGACAGATAAAAATAGTAATGAGAATGTCTTGAAAGAAACTGATTCACAAAGAGAACTGGTTGCTCACATCAGATAGAGACACTCTACATTCTTTGATCATGTGATGAGAAGGAGAAAACTGGAATACATCATGACAGTGGGAAAGTTGGAGGGAAGGAGAGGCAGAGGGAGACCGAGACAAAAGATGCTGGGCAGTTTGACATCATGGCATGGAAGATCATCTGTGTCAGAATTGATTGAAAGTACACAAGACATAAAGTTGTGAATAGATATGACTTTCAACACCACATGGCATGGACTTAAAGAAGAAAAAGATTAGGATATTATTTGGGGTGGAAAAAAAAAGATTTTTTGAGGCATTGTGACTTCATAATAAAGTTATGATGACATTGCTGGGGATTCACTATGAAAGGTAAATACCAGCTTAGCGGTTTCAATAATCTTCTGCCACTAGTTACTATTTATGTGTCCCATACCCATAATGAGAGCTAATAGGTTGAAATGGCTGTGAAATATTGAGAGAATGTGACAGAGATGACAGAGAGGTTAAAAACTATACACAAGAGAGATGAATGGTCGTGACCACGAGGCAGACCAAGAAGACGATGGAGAGATAATGTCCTGAGAGACCTGCATACACTTGGTGTCACCAACTGGAAAGAGAAGGCCAACCAGAGAGATGAGTGTAGGTAGGTGATATCTGCAGCAATGAACCTCAAGGGCTCGGAATGCTGAAGAAGACGAAGAAGAAAAAGATACCCATCATTCGTCTTTTTTCTTATGGTTTTGGTAAACAATCTTGTAGCAGCAGCAGTTCTGAATACCTCAGTGTTTTGTTTTCTTCTCTTTCTTTTCTTTGTCCATGATATTCTCAACATTCTTCACAAAATCCTTCTTTCAGATTCTACATATTCATTGTGTTATCAGTGTCATAACTGATAACATGTTTGCTTTCAGATGATAATAATATTATTCTTTCAGGGGTGAGGAAACAGGATTTTTCTCACTTGGACTTCTAGTAATTTCCCAGGTCTCTGAGTAGTAAGATCGGACTCCTGTGTGTATTGATGCACATGCACACACACAAACACACACACACACAAAATCCCTCTGCAGTTTGGAATTGAAAAGAGTAGCCTAACAGTGCTGCCCGGGTAAAATTTGGAGTAAAAAATCTACCCAAATCTACCCAAAGTATTTCAGGATCCTCACCGGTGCTATGGAGTTCGTGCTCTGCACTGAGATTTTCGGACTTGAGTTAGATGTAGAACAGAGCACTTATGGGTTACTACCCTTGTGTCATGATGTTGGTCCGTTGTATAAACCAAATCAAACCAGTCATCATGTCGTGCCAGAGCACAGCAATAATCCTGTTCCCTGCATCATCGTGTTGTGCCAGAGCACAGCAATACCCCTGATCCCTGCATCATCGTGTCATGCCAGAGCACAGCAATACCCCTGTTCCCTGCATCATCCTGTCATGCCAGAGCACAGCAATACCCCTGATCCCTGCATCATCGTGTCGTGCCAGAGCACAGCAATACCCCTGTTCCCTGCATCATCCTGTCATGCCAGAGCACAGCAATACCCCTGTTCCCTGCATCATCATGTCGTGCCAGAGCACAGCAATACCACTGATTCCTGCATCATCGTGTCGTGCCAGAGCACAGCAATACCCCTGTTCCCTCCATCATTGTGTCATGCCAGAGCACAGCAATACCCCTGTTCCCTGCATCATCATGTCGTGCCAGAGCACAGCAATACCCCTGATCCCTGCATCATCGTGTCGTGCCAGAGCACAGTAATACCCCTTATACCTGCATCATCGTGTCGTGCCAGAGCACAGCAATACCCCTTATTCCTGCATTATCATGTCGTGCCAGAGCACAGCAATACCCCTGATCTCTGCATCATCGTGTGGTGCCTAGACCAAAGAAGGATCTCCCTGTCATATTTTGGGAAGGATCATTACTCACCGCCAGTAGCATCGAACACACATCCAAACAAACTAGTTTATTATCTCATATCAGCTTCATAAACCAATCTTATAGTTGTAATATTTTCTTCGTCCCTTTGTCATGAATGGTTTCATTTTATAGAAAAGAATCATTTCTTTTCTCAATGATTATTTAAAATCAGCTGTGTTTCTCTGATGTCTCCCACACAGTTCTCTTGTGCAACTCCAATCGATGGTGTGAACACACTCGGATTCAGAGACGTGTGGGTCTGCAACAGTGATGGCTATGTAGGTCACATGTGCCTGCTCTCCCTGCAGCCAGAACCTATAGTGACTTTGAACACACCTGTCCCAGGGTGCAATGCCAGAATTCTGTGTATTTGTGCCGTTCCTGCATATACTGGTGCTTTCAGACGGTAGGACTTTTTTCATAGTATACCCTCTTTAAGGTTTGAAAAAATAATAATGTCCCTTGGAATTCATGTTAACAAGGTTTTACTGTATCAGCAAAGGTAAGGCTGTAAGTTGTCTACACCTACTTCTTTATCATCATGTTCTTCTATATATAAAGGTCTAATAATTCATGTCCCTTTTCTAAAACCGAAACGTCTGTTAACTACCTCACATTGAATGTTTGAATCATAGACTGAATCTTCTGTTAACTACCTCACATTGAATGTATGAATCATAGACTGAATCTTCTGTTAACTACCTCACATTGAATGTATGAATCATAGACTGAATCTTCTGTTAACTACCTCACATTGAATGTATGAATCATAGACTGAATCTTCTGTTAACTACCTCACATTGAATGTATGAATCATAGACTGAATCTTCTGTTAACTACCTCATGTTGAATGTATGAATCATAGACTGAATCTTCTGTTAACTACCTCACGTTGAATGTATGAATCATAGACTGAATCTTCTGTTAACTACCTCATGTTGAATGTATGAATCATAGACTGAATCTTCTGTTAACTGCCTCACATTGAATGTATGAATCATAGAGTGAATCTTCTGTTAACTACCTCACATTGAATGTATGAATCATAGACTGAATCTTCTGTTAACTATCTCATGTTGAATGTATGAATCATAGACTGAATCTTCTGTTAACTATCTCACGTTGAATGTATGAATCATAGACTAAATCTTCTGTTAACTATCTCACATTGAATGTATGAATCATAGACTGAATCTTCTGTTAACTACCTCACATTGAATGTATGAATCATAGACTGAATCTTCTGTTAACTACCTCACATTGAATGTATGAATCATAGACTGAATCTTCTGTTAACTATCTCACATTGAATGTATGAATCATAGACTGAATCTTCTGTTAACTATCTCACATTGAATGTATGAATCATAGACTGAATCTTCTGTTAACTATCTCACATCGAATGTATGAATCATAGACTGAATCTTCTGTTAACTATCTCATGTTGAATGTATGAATCATAGACTGAATCTTCTGTTAACTATCTCACATTGAATGTATGAATCATAGACTGAATCTTCTGTTAACTACCTCATGTTGAATGTATGAATCATAGACTGAATCTTCTGTTAACTATCTCATGTTGAATGTATGAATCATAGACTGAATCTTCTGTTAACTACCTCACATTGAATGTATGAATCATAGACTGAATCTTCTGTTAACTACCTCACATTGAATGTATGAATCATAGACTGAATCTTCTGTTAACTACCTCACGTTGAATGTATGAATCATAGACTGAATCTTCTGTTAACTATCTCATGTTGAATGTATGAATCATAGACTGAATCTTCTGTTAACTACCTCACATTGAACGTATGAATCATAGACTGAATCTTCTGTTAACTATCTCGTGTTGAATGTATGAATCATAGACTGAATCTTCTGTTAACTATCTCACGTTGAATGTATGAATCATAGACTGAATCTTCTGTTAACTATCTCATGTTGAATGTATGAATCATAGGCTGAATCTTCTGTTAACTATCTCATGTTGAATGTATGAATCATAGACTGAATCGTCTGTTAACTACCTCACATTGAATGTATCAATCATAGACTGAATCTTCTGTTAACTACCTCACATCGAATGTATGAATCATAGACTGAATATACTGTTAACTACCTCACATCGAATGTATGAATCATAGACTGAATATACTGTTAACTACCTCACATCGAATGTATGAATCATAGACTGAATATACTGTTAACTACCTCACATCGAATGAATGAATCATAGACTGAATATACTGTTAACTACCTCACATCGAATGTATGAATCATAGACTGAATATACTGTTAACTACCTCACATCGAATGTATGAATCATAGACTGAATATACTGTTAACTACCTCACATCGAATGTATGAATCATAGACTGAATATACTGTTAACTACCTCACATCGAATGTATGAATCATAGAATATATCTTCTGGTAACTAAGTAGTAAAGCAGGGCTATTCAACTAAGTTTACTGAGGGGCCCAAATTTGGAAAATAAGGATCGTCACAAGCCAGAGGGCTAAACCTTAGCATAGAAAGATCATTAATACAATACAACTGGCAATGATCCACAGGCCACTTGCTAGGCCTCCGCGGGCCAGATTTGGCCGCGGGCCACCAGTTGAATAGCCCTGTAGTAAAGTAAAGGACCTTTTTCCACGCCTTTAGGC